CACTAGTGTAGGACTCATTCTGACTTAATTTATGTGTAGCTAAAATAATGTATTCAATCTTGGATCCTGCAGTTCCTTGATGATGACAACAAGTGCCATCTGGAGATCAACTATACGTTTGAAATCAAGAAAGAATGGCCAGCAACATAGATGCAGTCCAGTGAAACTTTAAATTGTTGCCTGAGACATTTCTTCCTTTTTTTGCTTTTTGCACTGGTAGTTAATTATGTTCTCTTTTCCACTGGTAATTAAAGGGGAAACTCTTGATGCACTTGATAGGAGTGCCAGAGCTTAATAGCTCATAGTAAGTTAGGTATTTGTTTTGTTTAATAATGCTGAGTTTTGGACCACCAAGTTTTGATAAATCTTTCTGTTCTATGGATGAAGCACAGAAACTTTCCATGACACACTTCTCCGTTTTTGGAACTCGGAAGCGTGTCGAAAATTCAAACCTCATTTACCAAATTATTCAAATTTGTATACATAGGTTTCCCTAAATATTTAACATTTTGCCAAATTTGTAGTTTATGGGATTCTGTGATGGAAAGTACTGGCTTTATTAAGAAATAGTGATTTTTATGCGATTTCTCCTTAGCAACATTTGATGTTCAATATGTACTAATATACTTGTATAATCTATTTGTTCTGTTAAAATTGTCTCATTTTTTCTTTTCAATTCGTCCTTATAAGATTATCCCATTCCAAATTTAGTAAAGTTTTGAGGTTTTGAATCATTTTTAATTTATTCATAGTTTATCAATTCAATATTAAACACATAAACTCATTTTTCTTATTAACTACATCATCTCCTCGCGTATTTGTTATTGGTTATCAAACAAGTTATATGAAGAAAAAAACATGTGCATATCCATGAGGACCATGAGTGCAAAAAATGTGTACATATATGAAAAATATTTATCTGTCTTAACATGTTTTTGATAAATACGTGTTTCTCCATGTTCCGTATCATTTATTTTAAAAATCGTGTTTCTTGCGTTTCCATGCTACTTAATTTTCTACTTTCCCAAAAACTTTATTATCTACCGAAAGATAAATAAATTAAAGCAAGACAAAAATCACTTATAATTTATTTGTTATTATTGAAAGCATAAAATTGGTAATTAATTTGTTCCCGCATTAACAAAATGCATTTCTTTGGCTGTAACAAAAACACATTAAAACACTTATATATTATGTACATATAAGCTATGTTAACGGAACCGGCCCGGACCGGGCGGGTCGACCCGGAAACCGGCAACCCGACGTCCAACCCGGATCGGTGGTATGTGAACTCGTAAATGTGGGTAAAATTGGATTTACCCGGTGACCCGTTTGGACCCGGAACGGACTGGTGACGGCTTAAACCCGGGAAAACAGGGAATTTATCTAAGAACATGACAAAATGAAAATTTTAAGGCTGCCGGGATCCATCCTGCATCTAGCAAACCAACGAACAACCAGTTTCCTCGTTCTTGTATATATTACTACTACGTTTCCTCGTAGTATTTCCTTAGAATACAATGAAAAGCTATCACAACCTTTCAAGTATTAATTAATTATACACGTAATATTATAATAATATATTGTTGTTAGTACACACTATAAAAAATACTTATATGATATTTTTAGAATTTTGTAACAAGTTTAGTTATGTTCATATTATTTTTGAGTAAAGTATAATATATTTGAATCTTTATACTATATACTCCGTACATAACTATGTAAAATTATATTATAAATGTATTTAAAATATCAAATATCCTTATTAATATATTTAGGGCTAAATTTATATTTTAGAATATTATGGGTGTGTTTTCATTGCTTACTATTATTATGATTATTTGATTATTGTGCATAATAATCACCCATATTTTTAATTTTAAATATTGTTATATACGGAGTATTTACTGATATACTTCTTCGGTCCCTTAAAACTTTGCTAACTTTCTTTTTTTGGATGTCCCACTAACTTTGCCACTTTCTCTTTTAAGTCAACAATTTGTGGTTCCGATTAATTCTCTCCTCTACACAAATCTCAACCACACAACTTTTACTTTATTAATCCCCGTGCTAGTCAAACTTGGCAAAATTTTAAGGGACGGAGGGAGTACTAAATATGGAATTGTTGAGGTTTTCCCGACGTTGATCGGGTTGACCTGCCGAGTCCGGGCTATCCCGTGACCCGGTCTTTCATCCGAGTTGCTTCCCGATCCGATTCTTGTAACATACCTGTTGGTAGAAAATATCTCGGAAAAAGAAACTGACAGCAATTCAATATAGTGAAAATAGCTTCGGGTTACATGAGGATTGCATGGCCTATTTATAGGCGTTTACAACAAGTCCAATAATAAAAGTCTACATAGGCTTGGCCCAATCTAAGAAGTAAGAACTAATATTAACAATAATGGGTCAATCAATCCAGCTAATAATCAAATAATCCCGGACTGATTTTTGCTAGCTGGACTGTGCTTTGAGCTTGGTCGGGCTAGTTTATCACTCCAGCTACATAAGACTCCCATCATCAAGTCAGCAAGATGCCCGTAGTCGATCTATATTATGGTGTGACCAGAGCGGAGATAAGGGGGTCGAGCTATGCCCTGACCCACTCTAAATTAAAAAACAAACTTACAAGTGTATTGTAGAAAAACTTTTCTAAAAATTTTTCCCGAAAAATCTTTGTAGGGGCTCAACATAGTATATCGGCATAGCTACGCCTTGGATGTGATCAGTCAACTACCCACATGAATTTGTATCGAGTACCCTATATCCGTTAAAATATACCTAACAATAAAGCAAGACTCCTATCACCATGTCATCACCGCCACATGAAAATGTGGCGGTGATTGTTGGGCATGTGGCAATGAGATGGTTAATGACACCAGGAAGCACGCAAAGGTAGTTGTAGAGCATGGTGATGCACAACAATGGGATATGCCGCTAGAGCCAAGAGATAATGCACAATAGACTAAAATTAAGGTACACTTTTAACATGTTAAAGGGAATAAATAGCTGGAGTTTCAAAAGCTAGGCACTACTAATAATACTCCGCATAGAACATTATACTTCGTAATAGCTCAAGTTTGAATGGAAAACGTCTCTTGTACAAGGCACTTTGTAAACGCCATTTTACACACTAGGTAATTGTCCGTATACAAACAATTGGCGTGACACGAAGCATAGTTGTTGAAGAATTGAGTAACACTTTCTATCATAACTAGTGGTGGACTCAGTTCGGACCACCCAGCCCGCTACTGTGCGGGACCGGCCCGGCCCGGGAAACCGGGTCCGGTTCCGGTTCAGGCCTAGGCCCGAGGGGTCTACCGGTTCCGGGCACGGGTAAGGGAAAAGGGGAACCGGCCCGGTTCAGGCCTTCTTTTATTTATTTTGTTGATTTTTTTGGTTTGGGCTGGGGTTAGTTGGGCTGGGTATTTCCGAGTGGTTTGGGGGTTTGGGGGGGGGGGGGGGGGGGGGTGGGGCGGTGGGGGGTGAAATAAATAAGAATAAAAAATAAAAAATAAAAAGAACCGGCCCGGCCCGGAATCGGCCCGGTCAAGACCCGAGCCGGTCTCGGCCCTCGGGTCTATAGATACGGAACCGGCGGCTCGGCCCAGGCCCGACCCGGCCCGAGTCCAAGCTAATGAAAATGTGGTGTCAATGGGTTCAGTGCATATCTCTCTAGGTGAAGACATAGGGGTGGACCGGGCTCAATCCGGTTCAGGCCTGGGCCCGACCGGGCTTGAATGGTTTTGGGTAAGGCCCGTAGGCATGGACCGGTTCCGATTCGGGCCCGGCCGGGCCTCGGTTCAAGAAAGGGAGGCCCAGAACCGGCCCGGGTAACCCCCGGATCCGAGTCGGGCCGGGCCTCGATTCTATTTTTTTTTTTGGCTTTTCCTAGTTAACCCCCAACCCTCCCCCTCATCCCCAAACCAACCCTAACCACCTCAAATGGCCCAAAATACCCAACCCAACCCAAAAACTTAAAAAAAATCAAAAAAGAAAACCCGGCCCAGGCCCGAACCGGCTGGGCCGGTTCACCTTTTGAAGGGCCTGAGCCCGAACCGCCATCCCACCGGGCAGGTTGGCCCAAACCGGGCCCGAAACCGGTTCACCGGGCCAGGCAGGTTGGCCCGTCCCAAGTCCACCCCTAAAGGTTTGATGCCAGGGAGTTTTAACCTTTGTTCCAAGTCCCAAGTCTACGTGTTCCGGGCCGGGTCGGTTCCGGTTTATTTTTTTTGTGTTTTCTTATTTAATTCAACCCCCACCCCCACCCCCACCCCCACCCCCGAACCCCTCGGAACAACCCAGCCCAGCCCAGCCCACCTAAACCCATCTCAAACCCACCCCCCACCCCAAAAAAAATTAGAGCCCGAACCGGGCCCGCAGCAGCCAGGCCGATTCACCCATTTCGAGTCCCGGAACCGCCCCCGGTTACCCCCTCAGGTACCGGTACCTGTCACCCAGGTCGTGCCGGTCCCACACAGTAGCGGGCCAGGCCGGTTCCCAGGCCGGTCGGACCGGGTCCATGGCTAGGTGAAGTTAACATCTCAAGCAAGCAGTTGATGGCAGTGGTAGAAGGAAGGATTCTCCTTTCGGCTTTGGGATGAACACAATGCAAGGTACTAAGGTAGGGTTGAGGAAGAAGGATTTTTAGCACCCCTCCTCCCTCCAGCTCACAACTCACAAGCATACAGTCTGATGAATCATTTACAAAGAAAAATAATGATGCCACACAACAAGTTGACTAGAAAGGGCACGGTTTAAACCTAAAACCAGAAAAGGCAATCGAATAAGAGTTAATAAATACTCCGTAATACACATTTTATGTTAGCGAAAGCCTGGAAGATGCTGTGTCAATCTTAAAAGGACCCTATTGAAGAAATATGATGAATTGATGATTGCCATGTACTGCATTCCCATTACAACAACATATCCCCAACTTTTAAGATCCATTAAAGCATAGAACTTCAACAGTTGAAACATAGTTGCATTGGGTAGTGTATCGGCATTTCATTCAAAGATAAATGTCCAATTATAAGAATACTGATGATAACAAGGGAAGACTTATAAAATGGTAATAGTAAAATCAAATGAGGGCACTAGTTTAAGCACAGTGTCAACATTGCCATAATCATAACACCTTGTGTAAGGAAGCAAAACCACATAGTGCATCATCTGATTTCCAGATCCAGTATAAGCATTATAAATTGTAAAATACTGCATTTCAAAACAAAATTCAGATTGAACAAGGTAACAAATCATTGGGAAACAAGAAAATTTTCAGTTTCAGCATAAGATAAATAAACGGTGCTGACTTTCTCTAAAAGACTAGAGCATGGGGTTTCATGCCTTCCTTAAGGGAGAATCTGGCACCCAAATAAGTCTTCAAATCTGGAACGGACTCGATTGCTTTAATCAGAACTGCGTCAACGTCCTTCTGGTCATCCTTCTTCTCTTGAGGTAGGGCACTCTTCTCCTGCATTTTCAAATGTGAACATAAACATTAGCACAGTAGTAGAAAACTATTACGAACTGAATAAGGGTAAACAAGAAGAATCACGAAACCTCTTTGTCTGAGTCAAAGAACTCTCCTTCGGTCTTCTCCTTCTTCTTTTCTGCCTTCTTAGCGAAGTACTTATCGTCAATCTTCTCCAAATTAACACCAGAAATGTCAACCTTGGTTGAAGTTGCAATCACATAAGCTTGATTCACGCGCCTCAGAGGAACGCCATTGATCTTGAATGGGCCAGTGATAAGAAGAAGCCCAGACGCGAGTTGCTTCAAGAACACAACCCTCTTTCCCTTGAATCGACCGGCAAGGATAATCAGAACTGTTCCCGGAGTAATACTGGACCTAAGCTTAGTTGGTTTAGGTTTATGCTTGTTGACGAGTGGCTTCTTAACATCGTCGGCGGGGTAAAACTTTGGTGGCTTCTCGGCCACGGGTGCTTCGGCGATCTTCTTTTCGTGGTGAGGAAATTTTCCGCCGTTTTTGGCTTTGATTGCCCAAAGACCCCTCTTGTGGTACATCTTCGACCTTGAGAAGGTGCCGATGCCCCTGGTTAGCTCAGGGTTCCGAGACTTCTTGGCCGCCATTGCAGAGTTGCTGCGAGTTTCGTTTCAGCTGGGGTATGGAAGCTCGAACTCTAACCCTAACTTCTGGAATATATATGTCCTCCTGTGTTGAACCACAAACTATTGCAGTGGCATAATATCGTGGGCTCTTTTTATCTGGGCTTTTAACAGATACAGATGTGAAACTATGGGCCGATATGGAGATAGGGCCAGACCGAAAAGTAATCAATCAATTTGTGGAAATATCCGGGCTTAGCCCCTTTTGCCCCTGACGTTTCATTTATGTCCATGTAGAAAATATTTTTCAAATCTAAACTTTATACTTTTCACTTTAACTTTTGTGATTTCATAATAAATAGACTAAACCCCAAATTATAGTCAAATTCAAAAATCAAAACCCTTAATTTTCTCTCGGTTCAGTGGCTTCTCCGCTGCACCTTGCATCTTCTCCAACAACTCAAAACCAACATCTCATTTTCCATCGGTCGATGGTTGAAAAGATCACATAAAATAGTCGATCCAGACTGAGTGAATGAGTTCGCACGCGTTGGAGATGGATGAATCGAAACCACTCGATCCATAGGATTGCGAAGAGGTCGCACGCACACACTCTCATTTCAGGTACCAATCCCGATTTCGACTGCACCAAAAGTCTTCCCTAATTTGACTCTTAGTCATGCAAGTGATGCAACAGTTTTAACCTTTTGATGGGATCGGGATAATGACAAAGTGAAGGTTTATTTCTCCATGGAAGCAGCTGATAAGGATAAGATGGAGGCGAACCTGCTGATGTGAAGTATGATGTTGTGTAAGGGAAGAATTGATGCTTCTCTTTAAGAAAGTTGAACAAGGAGATCATTATGTCAACAAGTGTAAGATAACTATGTCCATTAAGACATTGTAATATTTTTTATTTCTTATTTAACTAGTCAAATGTTAGTTTTTTTTGGGTACCAGGTTTGTAGAATAGTAGGTGTTTTAAATATTTCAGATTTTATACTTGCATCATTTGCTCTTTTGATTCCCTTTAGACTAGAAGTTGTTTAATTTACTCAGTTTACACTTTCACAGTATCAATTATTTATAATCATTAAATTATTTAGTCAATTAGTATTTTATTAAAACTTTTTGCTTTGTTTTTACTTGTTCATAAAATTTAAATAATGGATGAATCTCACTTTCCTATTTAACGTTTTCAGAGATTTCACCACCATAGCTGATAAAATCTTCTAATGAGATGCAAAATATCTCTAATAATGTTAACCTTGTGGTTCCCTGACCACTCCCTTAACCCATATTATGTCTTATTAAGGGCATTGAAGAAGTATTAGCGGATGAGATGCAAAGTCTTTGCGAGAGAGGCGGTCGTATTTGATATGCTTTTCATGAACATAGAGCATGTTGAGCAATTAGTCCCTTGTACTTCCTTCGCTCTGACCAAACCATATAAGGAGACATGTTCTCACATGAATACATCTTTTCTCTCCCTAATTAATCACATAACATTGAGCTTCTCAAAGTGTTTCAATCTCAAAAATAGTGTTTACTCTAAATAACATCATATTACTATGACATCCATGGACCCCTCATGCCTAGAGAAGGAGAGATGCAATGTTCATTTTGTTCTTTTTGTTTATTTTACTTTCATATTGTTGTGATTATATTTTGGTGCATCAGTACTTTATATGATTATATCTATGTATGTACCTCTGTTACTTTTACAGTAAAAAGTTTACCTACTTTTTAGTAGTTTTTACCCACTGTTCCATGCATAACATTCCACCATCATGAATGATACTTGTGAATCTCATGAAATTTATGCATTCTGAGAGAGTGAAGCTAAATATCATGTATAGTCATGTGGTGAACTTTGAATTTCTTGGCTTTAATTTGATAAAATATTTAAAAGTACTCGGTTAGCTAACAACATCTGCTTTCTTGTTTTGATCCGTAGCACAGATTTGAATAAAACAGTGCATATTTGAGCACCAAACTCAGTTGCACAAAAAATACTACTACCTCCGTTCCCATTTTAACTTCCAAATGCTTTTGGCACAAAGTTTAAGACAGTGGATATTGTGTGGTGGAGAGTTGTGCAGAGGAGAGAGAAATGTGTAAGAAATGTTGTGAACCACAAATTCTTTACCAAAAAGGGAAAGTGGAAGTTTTAATTGGAACGGACGAAAAAGGAAAGTTGGAAGTTTATTTAGGAACGGAGGGAGTAACATATATGTAGTATACGACTAGCCTAGGCACCATGCTTCACTTGATCACCTCGTTTTTCTTCTTCTGATTTTTCTCTATTTCTTTGAGAAAAATGCTTCTCAATGACAATGTGGAACCATTTATAATTTATGGTAGTACTAAAATCGAGGTTCCAAAGATTTTAAAATTACCACTTCATGTATCCGGCTATTCTACATTAATCTTCGTTTTTTCATTTTCAATTTGTCCCACAATTATTTTCTCTCTTTTCAGATAAAAATGAGCTTGTGGTTATAGTTCCACTTGATTCAAGATTAAGTCAAACGACGATTTGAAGATAGCATTTTTGGTCAAGACAACAATCGGGCTCACAGGTTTTTCAATCAAATCGTCTCCCGGGGGAGCAAGATTAGTTGGCTCTTGTTATTGGCTGGGTTCTTCTTCGGTCCTAGCTAGCTAATGGAGTGATACCCCTATTATTGTTTTACTGTTGTTTCCAATAAAGAATGTAGAAAAATAAGTTGAATATGGACTCATTGAATACTTTTGTGTGTTGAAATTGTTTTGTTTTTGTTTTGTTGCGTGTTGTTGCATTTTGTTTCACCATGTTGTTTTTTGTTGCCTCCTGTTGTTTTCTGTTGCACATTGTTGCATTTTGTTGCATTGTGTTACTTATTTTTGTTTTATTGTTGCTCTTGTTTTATGTTGTTTATTTTTTTTTTTTTTTGCTACTTCTTTGAAGTAAGAAAAACTCAGAAATGATAACTTTGGATTGTGAATATAAACCAATGACAGGAAACATAAATAAACAATAAAAAACAAAAATTTCTCTTTTGGATTCACGCATCGTGTTGCTTTTTGTTGCTTTTGATTGTATCTTGTTGCTTTTTATTATACTTGTTGCTTTTTGTTACATAATGTTGCATATTGATTTTGATTTTTTTGTCTATTTAGATTTGTATTTATATTCCTTACTTGTTTGGAATAAAAAATCACACACATACACACATGTAAACACCTAAAATGGTAAATTTAGATTTATGAATAAACAAAAATAAACAATAAAAAACACAAAGAAACAATATGCAACAAAAGTAACAATTAAATGATAATAATAATAATATCTAAAGTGTATAAGTTCATTATTACAAGAGCCTTTTTGACCTTTTTATTTCCGATTTTCAATATTTAAACAATTCTTAATTTAGTGTTTTTAATTCTAAGAACCTTGTTTACTTTTTTATTTGATTTGTCTATTGTTTTAAAATCTCATATATTTATTTCAGAGCCTTTTAGAACGTTCTAAAATAATAGAATTCATATTATTTAATATTTTCAAAATATTTTTATCTTTTATTACATATTTTAATAATTTTAAGTTTATCGATTTTTTAACTATTTTACATTTTTTTATAAAATTCTTATTTTCATATTTTATAAAATAATTTATATTATCTATTTAAAACACTACATTAAAATATACTTCTCAAGTTTTTTAAGTTTTTTACATTTTTTTATTTATAACTTTTTGTAAAATTTAAATTCATTTTCTTTAATTTTTCAATATAATTTACAATTTTCTAATTTTGCATTTTTTTTAGTTTTATTCTTTATTTTGAGTTTTTTTTTGTGTTTTTAAAAATCAATTTACTTTTGTCTAATTTTATTGTTTTCTAAACATTATCAACAATATGAGTTAATGAACTTTTACATTTTCAGCTTAAAAACTATTCGTACTACAGTGAAGTGGAGCAGTGATTCAAATTTACATGTATGACAGTACATGTCAGGCGAAAGAAATTTTAGTCTGTGAGCTTCATACGTGCCAATGGTCCATTTTTGAAAAGAAACTTTGAAGTAATCTAGATTTGAAAGAAAATTTTAAGGGGAACAAAAGTGATATTAATTTCATTTTTAGTCTATTTGTGAAAATTACCCAATCAATTTCACGCCTTTTTTGGTTGACTTTTGGTTTAGATCATTCTATTTGATTTTGAAAAGGGAGTTTCTTCTTAACAGGACTAAAATATCCAGAATTTTTTCCTGGCAGTTTGGCAGCATTACTGCCGCTGTCACCCCCACCGGGGTTCACCGCCGGTGCCGGAATTCGCCGCCGCTGCTGCCGCCATCACCGGCATGCCCTCGCCACCAACAGGCTGCCTTGGTTGTGCAAGAGAACCAGAGGGCAATTAATATGGTTAATCAATTAATTAAATCAATTAGGGGTAAATATGGAATGGTTAGTTCTATTTAGGGAAAACCAAACATTAGATTATGTTTTTGGAAGAAACATACGGAGTATATTTTTGTCCTAGCCATAACAATTTTCTCTTTTGAAAACGGTGAAACTGGGAAAATTGAATCAAATACTCTTGGTTGGCTTCATTCAATTTTGAATCGATTACTTTTAGCTAATTTCATGAGTTTTTTGTGTGCTTAAATCTCAAATGGTGAAATATATCTTTGAGGATTTGATCGGTTTAGTCCATTTCAGCTTTGATTGATTGGGTTTTCATTTATTCAATTTCATTTGATTTGTTGATTGGTTTCGATTTATTGATTCTTTTGCCCACTATGATCTTGGATTGTAGAGAGGTTATTGGCATCATTATGGTATACTCTATGCATTATGGAGCATGTAAAACTTAAGGAAAAATGCATTACACCGGAATCCAGGAAAAAAATAACTACAACAAAAGAACTTTTCACATACGTAGTAGTAAATTTCACTTATATAACAAGGCATATTATATACAAATATCCAACAAACCCGTGAAGCGGCAACAAGAATTGCTAGTCATATAGCAATCACTAGTGATATTCAAGAGAAAATTGGTTGATAAGTTTGAGAAAAAGGTATCTTGCATTCTTGCAATAAATGATTTTGGAATTCTTACAGTTACTGAAAGCGGGACTATTTATAGTAGTAATCATTGTT